TCTCACTAAAGAGAAGGGAAGCGTGTTTCTGGCGAAGGCAACAAGAGGTACAAAGGACTTGTGGCTGAAAGGGATGGAGCAGAGGCCTATATGGCTGGAGAGTGGCTGGCTCAGAGAGCAAAAGGAGCTGGAAAGGCAGGGTGTGATGAGGAATCATGTTTTGCCTTCATCCTTAGAGAACTAGTCAAGTTTCTCAGAGGAGATGGGGCTATACTTTGACCTTGAGGGTGGATGCAATGAAAGGAAGCAGAGAAGGGGTAGAAACAAGATGGGGTTTGAGCACCAAATAAGGGCTGGGCTTCTCACAGGATATATGCAGTCCTCGGGAGGCAGAACAGAGTCTCCATGTTCAGCCCTGCCCCTCACTCAGCTGTGAGACTGGCTGAGTCCCTTCCATGCAATCAGTTTCCCCCTCTTGAAAGCCAAAGCAACACCCCTGCTGCCTAGGCCTGCTATAAGGCTTGAGGAAAACAGAGGGCCTAGAAGTTCAGAACTAGGGAACTGCAGCCAGACAAATCAGCTATTGTTTCATGGCCAGGATTTTCTCTTCTGAGAGTCAGACAGGGCAAGTCATTTTCCCCAGGTCACACAGCAAGGAAATGGTGGGTAAGGACTTCAACTGCAAGAAGTGGATTTGAGGGGCCGGGGATTTAGCTCAGTGGTTTCGTCGCCTGCTGCGCAAGCGGAAGGACCGGAGTTCGATCCCCGGTACCAAAAAAAAAAAAAAAAAGAAGTGGATTTGAACCAGTTGTGGTGGTGCATACCTGTAATTCCAGCACTTGGGAAGTTGAAGCAGGAGGATTGCTGTGAGTTCAAGGCCAGCCTGAACTACATAGTGAGATCCTGTCTCAAAAAAAAAAAGTGGGTTTGATCTCCTGTTTGGGTGGCAGACTCCATCCTGCTCCCCATTCCACAGACACGGTCACTGAGGCCCAGAAAAGTGACTTGGCCAAGGTCACGTGGCTCTTGTTCACTGAGTGCCTGCTTTGTGCCAGCCACTGACCCACGTGCCTGAGAGAAAGCTGTTACACACAGATAGAAATTCCAGCACTCATAAAGTTCATCTTCTAGTGGTGGTGGTGGGGATTGGTGCTACACAAAGCAAATAAGCAAACAGACAGCAATAAGGGTTGTCGGGAGAAATAAAGTTAGGAAGAGGGATGGAGGGTGTAGGTGGGCAGCATGTTCAACAGGGTGAAAGATGACACTGAGCAGAATGCTGAAGAGTTGAAGAAGGAGTCGGGAGGACAAGTGCGAAAGAGCACCCCAGGCACAGGGAGCAGGACCTGAAAATGCCATTGAGTGAGAATGTGCCTGGCTGTTCTAGGAGCTGCACGGAGGCCAGCAGGAAGCAGGAGTTTGTGCATGTGATGCTGAGGGGCCATACTAATGTCCCTGTGGGGTTCCCTGGGCTGGCTGGCATAGTGAAAAATAGGACCCAGGTGATTTCACTCCACACCTTGCCGTCAGCCTAAAGGAAGTCACTGAAAAGGGGGCTTCTTCTAAGCCTATGGAAGAAGAGAGTAGGGAGGGAGCTCACCTGTCCTGCCCAGTCCCATCCTGGCTCTTGCTCAATCTGCCCTCTGGCTCCTGGGCAGGTACACTTGGGAGATATTAGGATACCTATTTTATGGGTGGGGAATAGATTCTGAGTAGGGAAAGCTTTAGGTTTTTCTCCAAATTACCCAATCAGGAAATGCTGACAGTAGCAATAAAAACCCATTTTAGTGCCTACTGAGAGCACAGGCAGCTAGACCCAGTGCCCAGTGGCAGCATGGCAGTGAAGGCAAACTGCTGGTGGGAGAGGAGATATGCTCTGGAGCAGACTGGGGTGGGGGTTGTTCCCTGATAAATGGCTTCTTTCTGAAGAGCTACCAAGGGGCAGAGAGGTAATCCCAAGGAAAGAAAGGAGGTCTGTTTGTTAAAGCTGCAGGAAAGGTGACTGGGTAAGTGGGCTTCAGGGATAAATATCCCTGTCCAAGAGTGAGTAGAGAAGGCCACCATGAGATTGTAAGCTTCCCATTACTTGGAGCATGTAAGCAGATGAGGCCTTTCCATTTTCCAGGGAGGCTGGGGCAGAAAGAGTCTAGTGAGGGAGCCTGATCTGACTGATTTCTCTGCAAGCCTTCAGAGGGCCCAGGCAGCCAGGTGTAGTGGCACATGCCTGTTTCAGAACTTGGGAGGCTGGGGCAGGAGGATTGCTGCAAGTGTGAGGCCAGCATGGGTTACACAGTGAGTTTAAGAACAGCCTGAACTACATGGCAAGACCCAGTCTCGGGGTAAAATAAACCCAGAGAGCCCAGGCAAGGACTTCTGCCTGAAAATATCTGCATCAGGTTTTTGATCTGAATAATTCCAACCACATTTTAAGGATGCAAGTCTGGCTTCCAGGCGAGGTGTTCACTTTTTACTGAGGGAGAGTGCTGGGGGTAGAGGGACGTGGATTGCATCAGTCTTGAGGTGACCTCTAAATGGTTACCTTCCTTTATTCCCAGATAAGGCAAACACACAGAAATTCTTTGTTGTGGCTTCAAACAAACAATTTCTAGATAGGTCAGGAGATTGGGGCTTCAGTGGACACGAGGTAGGGTTAAGGGAGATGTTTGTCAGAACCCTGCTGCTGAAGGCTCCCCAGAAAAGCCTTGCATCCCAGCAGGCCTTGTTTGAGATCCTGAGCAGGACACAGTTCCTGATCTTTGTAACTGGTCATTTAGAGAAACAGCCCTCCAGCCCTTTGTATCCACCCCTGTGGGTGGCTAGTGTTTATTAAGCACTGGCCATGGGGCAGCTCCAGTGTGATGACTTTTATCAGTATATGTCCCTTTTAGTTCTGAGGAAAGAGGAATCCGTTAGTGCATGCTCTAAGGCCATTATCCTTCCTTGTCTCCTTGATCTGCCTGCCCCATCCAAGCGATGCTGGAAGGTTGGCCATTAGTAAAGCAGTCACCTCAGAATGGAGTGTACAGTGGCCGCTCAGCAGATGCTCAATGTAGGCTTGGTGGGCCAAGGTGCTTGACTGTGGGCCAAGTGGAATCAGAGAGGTGAGAGGAGCAAGATGTTTGCAATGATTCACCAATATGGACATTCTCAGACCTAGTCTTCGTAAACAGATTCAGGTTTATGAGCACAAAAGTGATAGATCCAAATCACTTATTGGAAGTAGTGAGGCTGGCAGCCAGTAGGTAGGACAGACTGGGCAAGGTCGACCTTGGAGGCAGGAAGGCATAGCTGAGGAAGGTTGACAGTCACCCATTGGTGAGCGCTATTTAGGGACCAGGTGCAGTACAAACCCGTGACACACCCTCTCTTAATCCTCACCAAGCTAACAAGGTGGATATCATCATGCCCATTAAGCAGGGAGGAAACAGAAGCAAAGAGGACCAGCAGTGTGCCTACAAGCACTTGGCAAGTGTCATGCTGGATCTAGTGCTCATAGTTTATGTTGCAGTGTTGTATTTGTGGTTCTGGGGATGGAACCTAGGGCCTCATGCATTCTAGGGAAATGCTCTAACATTGAGCTACACCCCCAGCGCCATAGTAACATAGAAGAAAGACAAAGGACTGATAAGGCATGATGGTGGGAAAGAAGTCTCAGTTGTCATACTTGTGAGTAATTTCTCAAACACCACTGTGTTTTATAACCTACGAAGCACTTTCACACTTCTTTAGGCATGGTCTAGGGCAGTGACGGCAAACCTTTTAACAGCTTTCAATGGTACAAGAAGCCCGATGTGGCACACGTGCTGTAGGTTCACCACCATCGTCTAATGCAAGGTTACAACTAAGTGACTGGCTTGGACACAGTCAGCAAACTCACTAGCCAAACTCTGTCTTGTGTAGTTCCACGAGCCAAAAAGGGGCTTTACATTTTTAAATGGTTGGAAAAAATCAAAAGAATCATTGTATTTCATGATGTGAAATTACATGAAATTCAAATTTTGGTGTTGCCTCTAAATAAAATCTGATTGGAGGCCGGGGATTTAGCTCAGTGGTTCCAGCGCCTGCCTCGCAAGCGCAAGGTCCTGAGTTCGATCCGTGATACCAAAAAAAAAAAATCTGTTTGGAATACAGAAAGAAAGAGAAAAAGAAAGAAAGAAAGAAAGAAAGATAGAAAAAGTGAGAGGGGCCTGGAGATTTAGCTCAGTGGTTCAGGTGCCTGCCTTGAAAGCACAAGGTCCCAAGTTCGATCCCTGGTACCAAAAAAACCAAAATAAAATAAAAAAAGTAAGGTGCGATTGTAGAAGTCCTGCCTGGCTCTCTGCTGGCTGGGAAATTGATCAAATCTTGGAATCTCTGACTCTATTTCCTCATGTATCTAATCGCTTGCTACAAAAGGGGTTTTCTAAGACCTGAGACAAGCATGGTTATGTAAAAGAGTTTAGATAGTTAGCTTATGAATACGTGGGTAGCTAGGGAAGGGGCCCGAGATAGAGTTGGGTGATCAGCCACATTAATAAGATTTTTTGTTGTTGTTGAGGCAGGGTCTCACTATGTAGTTTAGGCTGGGCTTGAACTCACTATGTAGTCCAGACTGGCTTCAAATTTGTGGTAATTGTCCTGCCTCAGTCTCCTAAGTGCTGGGATTACAGGCCTGCACCACCACACTCCTTCACGTAGATAAGAATAGGCAGTGGACTAGGATTTTGGATCCAGAATAAAGTTCCTCAGGCAACATGGAATGTAGTCCCTCCCTACTAAATTCCTGAGTTTCGAGGAATTTAAAATATAAAATTACTTATCCACATTATAATCCTTTTTTGTTTTTTGTCTTCGTTTGGAGACAGTGAGGACAGGGATCTTGCGTTAGTGGAATAGGGGTCTCTGGCTGAGCCAAAAGATCCAAGGAGCCGTGGGGGAGGGGGGGCAGCGTCCGGAGGAGCAGCTAGTGTCGGCCTGCACCGCCTCCAGGCAAAAGCGAATCTCAGAGCGGGTAGGAGGGGCAACGGACTTGCCAAAGTCTGAGACTGCAGGATGGGGTGGGGATGAGGGGCAGACAGCTGCGCGGGAAATTACTTATACCTATGGCACGGGGCACCTAGCATCTAGTCCCAGCGCTGCAGGTCAGTTTGGGGGTTCAGGTCCAGGGGCAAGGGATCAGAGGGACACCACTGCCTGGCCGTCTCAGAATCTGCAAGCTCTGCCGCGACGGACCCTGGGGCTTGTAGTTTTCGGCTCACCGAGAAGCCAGGCGCGTCCAACAAGATGGGGCTCTGGAACTACATTTCCCAGAAGGCCAAAGGACTCGGGGTCACCGAGAAAGCGCCCCGGCGGGCAGCGCTTCCTCAGCGCGATGGGGCCGACTCCAGGGGTGAGTGGCTGGCTGCGCGAGGCCCCCGTGCTGTCCCTCCTGCGGCGGGCCGCCGGGTGAAAGAAACTGCGGGCCAGGGAGCCAAAACCATGAGCATTACTGCATCGGGCCCCGACTGCTGCGGAGGCTTGGGCAATATCAACTACAGAAAGGTACTAATTGTCCTGGGAAGCTGCGGACACCTAAGAGGGATGGGGAAGACTGCGGGGCTAGTAGACCCCGCCTCCAACGCCTAGTGGGCGGGGCCCGTTACCAAACAACGGGGCGGGGCGACCGGTGCCAGGCAGCGGCTAGTGTGCGTGCGCGCGCGCGCGCAAGTGTATAAACTCTAGAATAACGTGTCAGAGGGTGGGGAGTTTTGGGGGCTGTGTGTGCATGTTTGTCTCTGAGATTATGTGAGTCCGGGGAATCGTCTCTGAGGTTGTGTGAATTTGGGATTATGTGAATCTGGGATTTTGTGTATGAGTCTCTGGGATTATGTGTATCTGGCATTTTGCATGTGAGACTTTGGGATTGTTGTGTTTAGGATTGTGTGGGCAGAGTTGCTGTGACAGTGCGTGTCTGGGAGTGTGAGAGTGTGTGCAGGCATGGAGGAGAAGCATGGTGTGTGGATGGTGAGAGCCCGGATGTGTGGGAACAGTCAGGTCCCATTCTCCCACTCCATCTCTGCAGGCAGGGCAGAACTCTGGCTCCTCTACCCCTAACCTCAGGAGGCTGCTGGCCAGCTCCTTCCTTCTGGGGCAGAGACTGGAAAGCATCGGGCTGGGATGGGAGGATGAGCCTGGTGTCTGGGAACATGGCTAGGCCCTCAACAGAGTCATGGGCTGGAGAGTTTACCTTTCTCAGCACCTCTCTGGGCTCCCAATTCCTGCATTCTCCAGTCTCCCTTCTATCAAGGCTACTTCTTAGATTCTTCATTTACCTTTTTACCAGCCACTTTTTTTTTTTTTTTTTGAGACAAGATCTCATTATACAGCCCAGGCTGGCCTCGAACTTGTGCTGATCCTCCTGCCTCTCAGTCTCCCAAGTGCTAGAATCACAGGCATGTGCCACCATGCCTGGCTGTCAGTCTGTCAGCTATACAGTATCTCTGCTTGAAGCAACCTCTAATCCAGTTCATTTGTTCTCTTTATTCATTACTCATGGGTGTGTGGATTCATTTATTCATGGATACAGCCATTATTTACCAAGGGCCTGGTGCTGGACACTTAAGGGCCTACTAGTGCCAAGCTAACATTCTTATGAAGATGTGGGGTTGGAAATAGGAAGCTCTCTGGACTCAAGCCTGTAATCCCAGCACCTTGGGAAGTTGAAGCAGGAGGATGGCAAGTTGGAGACCAACGTGAGAATTTAATGAGAGCATGTCTCTAAATAAGTAAATAAATAAGGCTGGGTATATAGCTCAGTGTGAAACCGTGGGTTTAATCCCCAGTACCAAGGTGAGGAGGACTGGTCTGCCTGTTAGGAGTAGCCGTGGGAGGGTTTGTGAGGGAAGTTCCTGAGATATACCAGTGGGGAAAGATTTCCTGGTTGAAGAAAGCAGGTGTACAGTCCTTGAGGGTCTGAGGGTGGATAAGATAATTGGTAAGGATGGGTAGACAGCAGAGGGCAGAGGAGACTAGTTTTCTCATTTTAGCAGATTTTTCATTGAAGGATAGCATCCGTTCAGTTGGATGATAGGTCATATGTGTACAGATCCTTTGTTTGCTGTGGCCACCCAGCAGGACACAGGTTATCACCAGCCCCTGGAGCCACCCTGCAGACCCTCTCTTGGGAGGATTATCTATCCAATTAAATCCTTGGAATTTCCCACTATTGATAGTAATTAGTTTGTGACCCACAAGGTCAAGGCAATGATTCATATTTTCTACCCCAGTACATCAAAGATGGAAAGGGCCCTGACTTAGGGGAGGGTGCTTTCTGGAGGGTGGTTCACCGTGAACTTGTGAAGAGGAAGCTATGGAACCTCAGGGCAGAATGTAAAGGTCAGTGTCCCATCAGACCTCCAGCAATGATAGGGGATCACTGGCCTGTCCCAAGATAATAGGAGCCAAGCCTGTGTTATAGACCTGAACCAAGAGGTGAAAGGTGCAGCCTATGGATGGGAAGGTTACCTGGTTACGTGTGGAGAGGGTGTTCCTGCCATTTTTCCACCCTCTCTGGAGTCTGACAGGGCTGGGCCATGCAGCTGGGAAAAACTGGAGCATTTCCAGGACAGGTCAGGATGACCCTTGTTAACTAACTGCTACTCTGTTGGTACACTTAAGTTTCCTGCTTCCAAGGGATTTTTCTTTAACAACAACATCAACGTATAACATTATATATTTGTCTTATGTGCTAGGTCTCCTTCTTGAGTCAAAATCTCTGGGTTTAAGATAAAATCGGTCTCCAGCCTTTGAACTTTTTTCCCCCCTGATTCTGAGGATGGAACTCAGGACCTTGCATGTGCCAGGCAGGCGCTGTGCCGCTGAGCTACACCCCTGGCCCTAGCCTGAGAATGTTTTAAGGTTTTTCTTCACCGGGTGGGTACCTGAGCTGCAGGTTCCTGGTGCTTTCCCATGGAAACATCATGTGTCCCATATGTAATGTAAAATTCTGGACTAGAGGTGTAGCCAGTACTATAGTACTTGCCCAGCATGTGTGAGGCCCTGACTTCCATCCTCAGCACTGTGGGGAAAAAAGGAAAAATAAAACCCATTTGGTAGATGCAGTACATAAAAAGAAATAGAAAATAGAAAAGAAATGTAAAAAAATACTTTTACCAACATACAGTTGGCCCTTTGCATCTGGAGCTTCTGTATCTGCATATCTCACCAACCATAGATTGAAAAAAATTGCAACTGTAATGCACATGTACAGACCTTTTCTTTCTTTTTTTATACAAATTTATTATCTTAATTTAATTTAATTTATTTTTTGGTACTGGGGATTGAACTCAGGACCTTTCCCTTGTGAAGCAGGTAGCGGAACCACTGAGCTAAATCCCCGGCCCTGCTGACCTTTTCTTGTCATGATTCTCTAAACAATGTGGTATAATTATTTACATAGCATTTACATTGTAAATCTAGAGACGATTTAAAGCAGCGGTCCCCAAGCTTTTGGCACCAGGGATCAATTTTATGGAAGACAAAATTTTCCAGATGGGGGTGAGGGGATGTGGTTTCAGATGATTCAAGCTCATTACATTTATTGTGCACTTTATTTTTATTATTATTGTATTTTAATACATAGTGAAATTATTGTAAACTCACCGTAATGTAGAATCAGTGGGAACTCTGAGCTTGTTTTCCTGCAACTACATGGTCCCATCTGGAGGTGATGGGAGACAGTGACTCTCAAAGTGTTTTGCATATATCCAGGCTACTCCATAATCTTGTTTTGGTTGCTGTCACTGCAGAAAACTCTGCTTCACAAAGATATGATGTTGGAAATGGAAGCAGGATTTTCAGTGCTTTTGTAGTTAATATCAGGATATTCCACCTTGGCTTTAATCCATATCCTTTTCTAGCATGGACAAAGTCATTTTACTGACTTATTCACAAATGGGTCAAGGATCCATTCCTTCATAGTCAGGTCTTTTGTGGTTGGGGAATAATGCTCAAACTCTTTTGAAAGCTGAGATAGGTGGTCATTCACCAGCTGAGAGAAAGAAAGCTCTGGCTCTCAGTCTCTTTTAAAATCTCTGCTAATATTTGAAACATGTCAAAAATTCTGATGTTCACTCCTCGCCCCCATAATTTCAGTTTGGCTTTGAGTGTAGCCACTTTATTTGCTTACTTGAACACAGTTGTCATTCTCCCTTGAATTGACACATTAAGTTTGTTGAGCAGGTTGAATAGGGCACATGAGTATGCAAATTTTGCAATCCCTGCTGCATCACTGAAATGTGCTGCCAGTGGTAACTGTTTTTCTAAAATAAATCTCTGAAGGAGTTCTCATCACTCAAAAACTCTGGCCAGTGATCTACCTTTAGAAAGCCATCTCAGTTCTGCATATAAGAACAGATGTGTATGCTCTGTGTCCATCTCCTCATGGAGCTTCATGAATAGATATGAGTTAAAGGCATCTACTTTTTTGTTTGTTTTTTACCTTTTTTTTTTTGTGCTACTGGGGATTAAACTCAGGACCTTGTGGTTGCCAGGCAGGCACGGCACACTGAGTTACATCCCTGGCCTTGTTTGTTTTGAGGAAGGGTCTCTACTCTGTAGTTCAGGCTGACCTTGAATTCACTATGTAGTCTAGGCTGGATTTGAATTCACAGTGATTCTCTTGCCTCAGCCTCCCTAGTGTTGGGATTACAGGCTCACGATCATGTACTTTAATGTGGTTGATAAATTTTAATCACATCCTGCAAAACATTGTTAAATTTAGGTGACATTTTTTTTGCTAGCCAGAATTTCTCTAAGGATAAGACAGTGTCTAGACTCACATTCTGAAGTGACTGACCACTTTGGCTTGAGTAGTGAAACCAGAAAGCCACCTAGTCAAGGCAGTTGCCCTGTCGGTGCATATACTGACACAAGATGAACAATTCAATTTTCCTGATATATGATCATTGAAAAACTTGAATTGTTCTGCAGTTGTGGTCTTGGTTGACAACAAAAGTACACCTAACATCTCTTCATGTATATATTCCTGAAAAATATATTGCACAAAAACAAACATTGTTACCTTGTCATCATTGGTAGACTCTCCAATCTGGATTGGGTACCACAGCAACTTACTAATCCTTTCTAACAAGTGTGCCTTAAGATCCTCTGCTATTTCATCAATTTGTCTAGTTATGGTGCTAGCTGAAGGAGGAAGACATGCCACCTTTTGAACTGCAACCTCTCCTAAAAGCTCATGACAAATGACTTTAGCAGCAGGCAGGATGAAGTCTTCACCAATAGTAAAGGGCTTCTTAGCTCTAGCAATGCAGTTAGCCACTAAGAATGATACTCTCAGTGCAGACATGTTTGATGAAGTGGTGGTCTTCAATAATTACTTCTGTTCTTCATGTTCACATTTTCTTCTTTTGAAAAACTCCAAAGGCTTATCTTTTAATACAGGGTGCTTACTTAGTCTCCACGTGGTGAAGCAGTTTTGAAGGTTTTATAGCTTTGCTGGATAGCTGGTCACCACATATTATACAAAGAGGGCTTGGAGAATG